CCAATGTAGTAGCCCTACAGGTGGATCAAAAGGAGACAGCTTGGGCACTGAGCGGGACCAGGCTGGAATACATTTCCTTGTATGTAATCCCAGACATACTGTTATTTTTACAAGAAATGCTCAGTGTCTCAGTTTTCTGATTATGCAGATGTTCCTGGTTTCTTGACATCCCGTATCTGAGACGTTACTTTCTTGTCTCCATAATGAAGGAGAGTTTCTCGTAATAATGATAGGAAGTATTGTTTCCTTTTTGTGATTTAGAGGGCAGAGCTGTATAGGAATTTAATAGCTTCATTTGTTTTGAATCGGGGTCTCCTCTACACTCTTGTATAGAATCTTGATATTGGTCAGTAAAACTCTGGTTTGTCCTCTGATTTATCCTCATGTCAATAATCTGAGTAAGTTCCTGGATATCGATATGTCTAAGCTCATTGAGGTTTTTATTGTCTTTTGACAATTCAACAAATAGAAGATTAGAAATATATTCTTTTCAAAGAGCCTAGCTACCATCAGACCTGTCTCAAAAAAAATCCACATCTTCATATAATCTCTTAACATTCATCTCATTCTCAAGTGTAACCACAATACGAAGGGAGTGGTAGTTACAGAATAAATATTCTATGTTGAGGATGTCATCAATATCAAGAGACTGTGGAGTTATATTACTCAGTAGTTTCAAAACAGTAATTTTATGCTGTATAAATGAGAGGTGTCCTTTGGGTTTTGGAAAATTTTTAAAAAACAATTTCTGTTGACTTAATACGAAATTTCATTTCCATGGTGATTTCAATTTGGTTTTGCTTTGGTGATGATCATTCTCATATAGATTTTATTTCAAATGAATTTGTCTATCATTCAGCTGACATCCTAAATCTGGATGTAAATGGCTCTAGAAGTAAATGGCTCTAGAACAGCCGGGGAATTGAGGAAAATTATCGGCTGGTATCATATCACCCTTATCCTTATCTTTTTGTACTGGATGTTTCTTGCCTCGTGGTTTTGAAGTACATGTTTTGAACCTGGAAGCACAGGGTAATTATTTCAGTAAGGAACTAAGTGCCCCTAATAGGCAGCTGCAGTTAACATACTATACATTGCACTCTGAGCTGGCGAAAGAATTCATATTGTTTAAAAAGTATATTCATAGAATGAATGGCAGTATGATTTGCAGAAAAGAATGAAATTTGTGCTAGTGGCTGCATATAGTTTAACCTGTTAGAACAGCTGATCAGGAAGCCTGGGATTCTTAATTCAAACTTTGCACAAACCAGAAAGTACCAGGAGATAATCGCATGGACAAATGAGATGTAAGACACATGCATAAAGAAAGGGCTGTGTGATTTCCTCTTTGTTCTTCCTTTTTGTAGTATTTTATTATAATTACCAAATGACTTTTTCATCCCTGCTCAGTCAATCCCAATGGCTATCTAGTCCAACATCTTGCTTCCCACAGTGACCAACTAGATGCTAATGAGAAGTCTATAGGCAAGAACGTTTAGGCATGTTGCAGTAATGCGAATATGATTGGTGAATGGTAGAAAACTTCTTACTTACTTTTTCATCCCTGCTCAGTCAATCCCAATGGCTATCTAGTCCAACATCTTGCTTCCCACAGTGACCAACTAGATGCTAATGAGAAGTCTATAGGCAAGAACGTTTAGGCATGTTGCAGTAATGCGAATATGATTGGTGAATGATAGAAAACTTCTTTCTACAGTACTTACTTCTTATTCTTATGAAACCTACATGTTAGAAACCTTCCTCAGTCTATTTTATAGTAATATTAGACTACTTGAATGATTGATATTCCAAACTTAAATACACCTCCTTGACATTGATTTTAATAATACTTCCACATGAGTGTGTTAAAGATTATGGTTTAACTGCACAATCTTGTGTATCTGATCAGAAACAAAGATTGTTCAGTTACAAGGCAAGTATATACAGGATTGACGCTTCAGGATCTGTCCTTCCAGTGAACAGTCAGGGTTGATTTCCTTTAGAATTGATAGGTTTGTTCTCCTTGAAACTTCTTACTACTTACTTCTTATTTTTATGAAACCTACATGTTAGAAACCTTCCTCAGTCTATTTTATAGTAATATTAGACTACTTGAATGATTGATATTCCAAACTTAAATACACCTCCTTGACATTGATTTTAATCATACTCCCACATGAGTGTGTTAAAGGTTATGGTTTAACTGCACAATCCTGTGTATCTAATCAGAAACAAAGATTGTTCAGTTAGAAGGCAATTATATACAGGATTGAAGTCTAAGTCACCTAACCATTTGGCACTCTTTTAGTCTCAGTAGTGTCAGTGGTAATATGCCAAGAGGCATATTACTGATTGTTGGCTGCTTCTTCCCTGCACTCAAGATAAACCTGTTAAGTTTATCTCATATTCTTTTTTCTCAACAGCTCCTTCGCTTTTTGCTACTTTTTATAGTCCTGTTTTCCTGAATCCTTGGGCACTTGGCTAGTCTTTTTCAACAAACATTCATTCATTTGTTTATTCATTCATTCAGCTTCTATACCGGGCAGTTATGAAACCTTAAGATTATTTGAGAAAGGGCAATTAGTACATGCATAAAATACATATTGTACAGTGTTAAAATGATTGTGTTTGTAAGTACAAAAAGACAGACATATTTAATCTTTACAGAAGTTTTTGACAGCTTCACATCAATAGAACTGCAGCTATAAATAAAGTTGGGTTTATTTATGCTTCAGTTTACATGACAGTGGCTATACACAACTTAAGTAATTGCAGTTTGTGCTCCACACTTGGCTAGTCTTTTTCAACAAACATTCATTCATTTGTTTATTCATACAAGGAGCTTCTATACCGGGCAGTTATGAAACCTTAAGATTATTTGAGACAGTGCAATTAGTACATGCATAAAATACATATTGTACAATGTTAAAATGATTGTGTATGTAAGTACAAAAAGACAAATATATTTAATCTTTATAGAAGTTTTTGACAGCTTCACATCAATAGAACTGCAGCTATAAATAAAGTTGGGTTTATTTATGCTTCAGTTTACATGACAGTGGCTATACACAACTTAAGTAATTGCAGTTTGTGCTCCAAAGCAGTATTTTATTCAGAGGCATGAGAGGCCAGGTCAAGAGTTTTGAATTCCACTTTACATTGTTAACTGAATAGCGTTTTCAGTCTTATCGTTCTTAAAGCTGCAGATTGATGTGTTGATCATTTCAGAGGCAGTACAGACTTACAAAACTACAATGACAGATTTGTAGGTCTGTGTACTGTATTACGTATGTGTACATTAAAAAAACTACATGAAAATGATTACTTTGTATACCTCATATTTTTAAAAAATTATGCAAGAAATGGTTAAAGATGTACACATATTGTAAGTTATTTTGCAATTTATTTTTGTTTATAAAGTAGATGTAGAAACTGTTAAAGATAATATCAGTGAATTACTATGAAGATAATTTTGTGACTAAGACAACTCTTATTAATATTGGCTAGCTTTAATGATCATTTGTAAGTGGAAGTATAGGAAATGAAGGCAGTATAAAGAATTAATTCGAAGAATATACAATGACAGATTTGTAGGTCTGTGTACTGTATTACGTATGTGTACATTAAAAAAACTACATGAAAATGATTACTTTGTATACCCCATATTTTTAAAAAATTATGCAAGAAATGGTTAAAGATGTACACATATTGTAAGTTATTTTGCAATTTATTTTTGTTTATAAAATAAATGTAGAAATTGTTAAAGATGATATCAGTGAATTACTATGAAGATAATTTTGTGACTAAGACAACTCTTATTAATATTGGCTAGCTTTAATGATCATTTGTAAGTGGAAGTATAGGAAATGAAGGCAGTATAAAGAATTAATTCGAAGAATATACAATAAATATCCTATGCCTACATACCCTAACTACACCGACAGGTAGTAGTGTCTGCGTTAGAATTTAACAAAATCAGTTCATTAGCTGCATTTTTCAAAGAATGGAAGCAATCTATTTAGAACCAGGTTCTGTTCCTGATTTAAGTGCTGCACGGTTCTAGCTTTAAGACTGATAGAACTTGATATTTTCTCCTGGTGAATCACAGTTGATTCTGCTTTTTCTGTCACTGCTAGTCCCCTAATTACGAGCTTGTTGCATTGGTGTCAGGAATACATACACTCATGCTCTAAGGGGTCTCGCATTAATGATCCTCTGCAAGCTAGCAAAAATTTAATCCAACTTGCTAGGCACATTGGACACCTTACTACTCCCTATACCACACCATGGCTGGAGTGCAATGTGTTCCAGCAAAAATAGTGCACATCTTTATCAAATTTGGTGCATCCTGCTAGTTCGGTACACAGCCTGTGTAGATTCAATAATATTTGTAATTCAAATAATGTATGATTTCCTTCCTTTCGAATCAAGGGGGTAATGTCGGCGTATATAAATTTTTTGCAGGGTAAAAGGTAAAAAAGTTCCCTGACCCCTGCCATAAGGGGTCTCAGGTAAAAATACTTGTGCAGTACACAATAGGACTCGTTATGAACATGTATCTAGTGGCTATATTTTTTATAAACCTAAGTCCATTTTTAAGATCACAGTAATGCTAGTAATAAATAAATATGTGTATCTTATATACAAATGGAAACTTGAAAACATGAAATCTTATCTTAGCAATAAAAATAATTCCTAGTCTGTAAGTCAAGGGTCCACTGTAATGCTAGTAATAAATGAATATGTGCATCTTATATACAAACTGAAACTTGAACACATGAAGTCTTATCTTAGCAATAAAAATAATTCCTAAAATATTTTGACTTTAACAGGTGGACCATTCAAATTAGGGCAAACTTTGATAGTAAATATATGTCATAATGAACTATTAGTTTTTTAAAAGCTAACTTATTCTGTATTGGTGCCACCCATACTTTCAAAAATGGACATTATCAGGAAATCTTTCAGTTAATGTGTATGATGATTTGTTTTATTTTCAGGTTTTTGGAGTGGATGACAGCCAGGATTATAATAGGCCTGTTACCAGCGAGAGCCAGAGAGATTTAGTAAAAGATTGGGCTATAAATTCTGCTACAGTAGTGCTGCAAGAAAAAAGACCACTGAGTACAACTGGATTTCTTGACACAGAGGTAGAATTCAATTTTTGATGGGTCTTCTTCTTTTCTCTTCCAATAAAGGAGAGGACCTTAATATAGTCAGTGCTAAGTAGCTAGTAAGCAGAGCTTGTTTATAGAATATTAACTCAATATTAATCTTTTATATTTTTCATTTCTTTATTGTAGTTTATCTTGTATTACCACTAGAAAAAAAACATGACCACTTGCAAGCTTTTTCTTGGTCTTTATCCACACACTACACACTTCAGAGCAACTTGTTGCAAGATCAGGAAAATTCTGGATTTTGTAACTGAAAAGGAAAGGATTTGCAGACTGTGAGATGAGATAAAAGGAAATTGATCCTTTTTAAGCTAGAGGAATGTTGATTTATTGGTTCTGGAAAGGCAGTGCCTAAAATTAATTATGGCAGATGCTTGTCTTGTCTACAGTAAATATTGTCAATGTTAAGAGGTTTCTTCTGCTGAAAATCTCATGTAAGGTGCTCAGTAACCTGAGCCAGGGTCCCTGCCTAACCTTTCCACCTCCCGAACTTTCACAGGTTGAATGTATTCTCGAAGGCTGGCTTTTAACCTCCTGGGTAAGAAGGTTGATTGTCCTCTCTGGCACTTCCCTCTCATTTTGAATTGGTTCCTCTTCCCCTCCTGCTCTGTGTCACATGCCACCCCTTCTGATATTAGGGTCTCTGCTTTTCATCCTGGTGTCTACTTCAATCTCTTCTTTTTGTGACCTCCAATATACTCTCTGAAGAGCTATATATTTTTTCTTTCAGTAGGGCAGTCAGTTTGTAGCTTTTTTTTTACATTTGTAGTCAGAAAGATGTACATGGCAGCAACACTGTAGGTTGCTGCAGCATCCTCTTACTATCCATGCCTCTTTCCCTTATGTAAGTTCAGCACTCCTGGCTTCCCCTTCACACTCCTCCATTAAATATCAATTCAAAATGCCTCTCATGACCCTGCTGTGAGTAAATGTGTAGACCTCATATAAGTGCTTGTGTTTGTACTATTGCGTGTTCAGAGTTTTACAATTTATTTATGCAATCAGAAGGCACTGGAAGCTTCTTCTGTTAAAAGGCATTTGAAATACTGTAAAATTTGTCCAAGAGCTGCATATATTTTTGTTGGGTTACTTATCTTTGCATCTTTCTGTCCTTTCATAACAAATTGACTATCTTAGGATTCTTTACTTTGCCTGTAAAATTAAAAAAAAACTTACTTAAAAGTGCCTCTTATTAATCCCAAATAAGAACATTTTTGAAGTATTCTCAGTGCAATACAGTACTATAAGAATGTTCCTGCTGTCTAGAATCTGTAGTAAGTGACTCCATAAGATATCCATAGCAACCCATGTGTGCATATTCCAAATCTCCTTCAGGATTAATGTTACCAAGAAAAATCCATCTGAGAAAGTTTCTGCTTAGTCTTAGCTCACAAGGTGACTAAGGGATATTATGTGTGGAATCATGGTTCTCAAACTTCTAGGAATTTAGTGTAAGGCTCAAAACATTGTGTGTTTGTGGTCCAATAAATATATTGCTCACTCTTGTTTTCAGATTGTGTATAAGGACCATTAGTAACCATTAGTTAACTTAGTTCTGATTCTTTCAACCCCATGCATCAGATCTAGATGTTACTGGGAGACTAAAATGTGCTCTTTTTTGGTGCTTGATGGGTAAGCACATCTCTTTATTGCTGTGTAATACTGTTATTCTCATCTTCTACTTAACCTTTCCCCTTGTTTTGAGGACAATAGGATGAAAATATGACTTTGGTGTATATAAATACTGAATAAGCAATACAAGGAGCAATCAGTAAGAATGCAACCTGAAGGTTAATATCTTGAAGTAGTCCCATTAAAGTAGCCAGGATGACTTAACAACCAATCCATTTCTTAAAATAAAGAACAGTAAGCCTTCATCTAATAAATATGCATAAAATAGATATACACACATCTTTATATTGCATCTTTATATCCACCACAGTATTCCTAGTTTTACGTTACTGTAAATTTTTTGATACAGAAGAAGACTGTGTTTCTGTTTCGCAGTTTAACATTAATTCAACAAGGTATGAATTTAGAATGGCCGATAATAGCTTGGACTTTTGTAGGAAGTTTGCCAGGCATGTAGAACTACAACAACATTCCTTACACACAAACATTGTAGTCTCTGTGTCAGCCATGATGACAGGAAGGAAATAAGCAGGTGAGCTGGAAGTTCTGCCTACCTAATTGCTCATTGGCTTGATTGACATAGAATTTCTTTGGGTTGTCAAAATTGCTATATCTTCTGCTTCAAACACATTTCGTATGTAGAGAAAGTTCAGGCTTGATTTGATCTAGAATCCACTTGTTTTTCCTCCTTGCATTGCAGGATATCTGCTGAACTCTCATCCAATATCATATTTCAGACAAAATGACTTTTTCCTGTTGCTTTCATCACTGCACAGCTAACACATCAATATATAGTAATCAGGAATGAGTGTGGATGATCTTGGCCTTGGTCTCCAGTGACAAATCCTTACATTTATTTTTTTCTAGTTCCTTCATTGCTGCCCTTCTGAATCATATTCTTCCACTATATCTTTCCTCCAAGCTCCTTTGGATTGACAGTTAAGCCAAGGTATACAAAATCTTTAAGCATTTCAGTTTCTGAATTATCAACATTAAAGGTATGCAGTTCTTCTGCAGTCATGATTTTTGTCTTTTTAATGGTCAACTGCAGTTCCGACTTTGCACTGTCTTTGTTCAGCTTAATCAGGGGTTGTTTGAAGTCATTGCCGTTTACTGTCATATGATATATTCTATGTATAGATTAAACAGATAGGTAGACATCTGATATCTTTGCCTTTGGGAAACTATTCTATTTCTTCATATTCTGTCCTAACAGTGTTCTTTTGTTCACAATGCATGTTACACATCAGGACAATCAAGTTTTGAGGCACATCTGGGTTTTGTTTTTTTTTAGAATAATCCATAGCTTGTTATCTGATCCTTTTCTGCCTTTTATTGTTATGCATTGGTAGACAACGTATGTGTGTGATAGGATCTCGGCTGCCTCATCTTAAAAACAAAAAACAAAGAACTTGAACATCAGTCCTTTTTTGCCTCACAGGTGATAAAAGTGTTTCTAAACACCTTGAGCATCACTTTGCTTCCATTGGAAATTAATGCAATACTGTAGTCTTATAGTTACTGCACTCCTTGGTGTCTCCTTTCTTAAGGGCTGGAATTTACTTACTTAAAATATTTTATACCATCTTTCTCATAAGAATGACAAAGAACTTTACATCATTAAAACACAATACAGTATTAAAGTTAAAACAGTGAACTATCCAAACATTAAGCAAATTAATAACAATATATTAAGAATGTTAGGTAAAGCATTATAAAGCATTATAATAGATTTAGAAGCAGCAAAATACAAATCATCTCATTTAAAAACATTTCCAGACAGTCTGTCACTAAAGAAGAGCCTGTCTGAAGAGAGAGGTCTTTGTCTGCTTATGGAAGGACAGCAACATTGAATGATTCCATGTTGGGTCATTGATTTGTTTTCCATATTTGTTGGCATATTCTTGTTAAGATTTTGACAGATTCGGTTTCTGTAACTTGGAACAGTTTTACTGGCATCCCTCCGATCATTTCCAAGTGCTTGCAAAGTAACATTAACTTCAGTTTGTCAGACTTTTAATTCATCTAAAGACTCCTTTTTGATTAAATCTGTAATCTTTCTATCTATTCTGTACAGTGGTGCCTCGCATAACGATTTTAATTGGTTCAAAAAAAATGTTATGTGAAACATCGTTATGTGAAACACCATTTCCCATAGGAATGCATTGGAAACCGGTTAATCCGTTCCAATAGGCACGGATTGCCGTCCTTAAGCGAAAAAACCCATAGGAAACATCGTTAAACGATACAATGTTTCCTCCATTGGAATGTATTGAAGCGGACTCAATGCATTTCAATGGCTTTGTGAAGTCAATTTTTGCAAATTTAAGTGTGTCATAAAAGGGTCAAAAATGGTTTTAAATGCTTGGATTAGCTTCTGCACCCTCTAAAACGGATGCAAAAGTTAATTTGGCTTTGATCTGACTTTTCGTTAATTTATGGTGAATTTTGACAGCTCCGTTGGTTCCTATGGGCCGAAAAACAAAATGAACCATAAATTAACGAAAAGTCAGATCAAAACCAAATCAGGTTTGCACACGACTTAGGGGGTCCTCTAACGAATCCAAGCATTTAGAACCGTTTTTGACCCTTCTAAGACACTTTTAAAATTGAAAAAAGAAATATCGTTAAGTGAAGCAGGGGACCTAAAATCACATTCGTTATGCGAAGCATGGTCCCAAACTTCGCTAAGCAAAAATCGCCCATAGGAAACATCGTCATACGGTGCATATTATTTTCTAAAAAAACACACATCGTTATGCGAATTCATCGCTAAACGAGGCACTCGTTAAGCGAGGCACCACTGTATATTTCTTCAATATATTGTTTCCACAATATAAACAGAATTTATATTATCAAGGTAAAATAATATGTTCTCCTGTTGGTCTTTCAGCATCTCTAATCTGGGTTTAAATTTTCCTTTGATTTCTTGGACTTTATGGAAGAGATCTACTGTTTTTCCTCTTTTGCTGTTCTCTTCTACTTCTTCGCACAAATAGTTCTCCACATGGTCACTGAAAAGTTGCATTCAAGATTCTAAACCTTTTTCTGTCACTTTTTACTTTTGCTTCCTGACCAGCTTTAAAGATTTTATGTGTTTCTTCCTCTGTCTGTCTGTCTGTCTGTCTGTCTGTCTGTCTGTCTGTCTGTCTGTCTGTCTGTCTACCTACCTACCTACCTACCTACCTACCTACCTACCTACCTACCTACCTACCTACCTACCTACCTACCTACCTACCTACCTACCTACCTACCTACCTACCTACCTACCTACCTACCTACCTACCTACCTACCTACCTACCTACCTACCTACCTACCTACCTACCTACCTACCTACCTACCTACCTACCTACCTACCTACCTACCTACCTACCTACCTACCTACCTACCTACCTACCTACCTACCTACCTACCTACCTACCTACCTACCTACCTACCTACCTACCTACCTACCTACCTACCTACCTACCTACCTACCTACCTACCTACCTACCTACCTACCTACCTACCTACCTACCTACCTACCTACCTACCTACCTACCTACCTACCTACCTACCTACCTACCTACCTACCTACCTACCTACCTACCTACCTACCTACCTACCTACCTACCTACCTACCTACCTACCTACCTACCTACCTACCTACCTACCTACCTACCTACCTACCTACCTACCTACCTACCTACCTACCTACCTACCTACCTACCTACCTACCTACCTACCTACCTACCTACCTACCTACCTACCTACCTACCTACCTACCTACCTACCTACCTACCTACCTACCTACCTACCTACCTACCTACCTACCTACCTACCTACCTACCTACCTACCTACCTACCTACCTACCTACCTACCTACCTACCTACCTACCTACCTACCTACCTACCTACCTACCTACCTACCTACCTACCTACCTACCTACTGATTTGATTTGATTTGATTTGATTTGATTTATACCCGCCCATCTGGCCTAAAAGGCCACTCTAGGCGGCCCTTGTCCATCTATAAGGGCATTAAATTCGTCATGTGTGTTAATTAAATTATATTTTGGTGCTACGATTTATAGCACTTCACTACTCTATTTTAAAATTTTCATATAAAGTAATTCATGAGTATATTCGTAACATTTAATAATAATTACTTTAAGAATGGTAACTATTAAATGATTTTTCATGGAAAAAAATATTTTCCTTATTTTACAGCATCAAAGAAAATACATGCACAAAGGTAATGGAAAGAGCATTACATTGTCTAAGAGGATAAGTATCAAGAATCTAATTGCCTAAGAGAATACATATCAATAATTTTCTTTGTGATCCATGTGACTCATGCACATGGGTCTGGCACCTATGCAGAGCAGTCTTCAGAATGTTCTAAAGCGTCTCCTCCCCTCAACCCTCCATTATTCATGCTCAGACACTCCTTAATAGTTCTCTCAGTTCCCTCTTGTTTGCCACACAAGCAATAGTCAGAGGGGTGTTCATGCCCTTCAAACTATTAAAAGTAGCTTAATTTCTTATTTTTCAAGTTTCACCCTACTGCCTTCTCTCACGTTGACTTTTTATATTGTCGTTGTTGTTGTTGTTTTAAGTTAATCATTCTTTATTTCAGTACATTATCTTATGGCTTTTGCAACATTGTTTTAAAAGTGTGTTGTCTGCAGGTTTAGTGTCTTTTTTGCCTAGAAGAGAGCCATTTTGTCCAAAATTGCAATATTTGGCCGGGACTTACTTAAGTAGCTCTGCAGAATAGGCAGTCCAGGTTAAGACTCTATTTGTGGGGAGAAGTCTCTCTAAAAATCAGATTTAGTGACACAAGAGCCTCATGTCATGTCCCCAGTGATTTCCATTTGGCAACTGCAACCTAAAGATTCTCTAATGGCTGACTATAGCCTGACTTACCATCACACCTGTTGGATCTCAAACCAAAATTGGAATCAACAGTCATCTCACCTTGAACCTCAACACCAACAGTTTACTCGATACCAAATCCATTTTAGTACTGGCTAAAAGACCATTGAACAAACTAAAATAATCACAAGAAAAAAAATATAAGTTTTCAAGTACATGAACCTTATCATCTATGGTTGTACAACTTATCTTTAAATCTCTGGTATCATCCAGAGTTCTGCCATCTGCACAGGAGGTTGCAGGGGAAGAAGTTGTTTACATTTGTTTATTTCAAAGTGGGCTACATGTCTCTTCTTTTCATGGTGCACCTAGGTTTCCACAACAGCTAGTCAAAGAGGCTTTCAACTCCTGTTCCTGATATCAAGCCTCTGCAGAAGCACAAGAATACTTACTTCACCATAGATAACTATTTACGTTACATTATGTCAGGAAGCATGACTCATCTTGAACACAGGACACAGTACTGGAAGAAGCACACAAGTTTATGTTTTAGCTTTAGTTTATGTTTTCTTTCAAAATTCCCTGAATTTAAATCAAATCCTATTCAAAGTCATTCCCATCAAATATAATCTCAAATACAGGATTAGTGAATGTTTCTCAAATTGAATATATGAAAGTATTATGAAAACAATCATGCAAGGTAAATCAGAGCTATAACATGAACTCTTCACTTGAGTTTTCACTTGACTGCAACTTTAAAATGCACAACCTGCATTGTTACCTGATTAAGCTGCACAACAAATAAATAGACAATGGTTTATGACTGGATGGCTGGATAAATACATAGATTCACCTTGTTACTTATCTTGTTAGTCTTATAAACCTTAATGTGGAAGCTCAGACTGACATTAAATTTTAGTTTGCATCTTGGATAGAAACTTCTCTCACTTTTTGAAGCCTCAGATGACTTCCCTCATTAATTGCAATAGGAATATGAACAGATCCTTATGTTTTAATAGGGCAGAAATGCATGAAATTTATGTAGGCACAGTATGCTTTCCTGTGGTGAAAAAGTTAACCATATTTCAGACACACAACTGCAGCGGAGAATTTTAAATAAAAGACAGTTTCATGCTTAAAACAATGCTTTGCACTAAGGTTACAGAAAATGCAGAAGTGGATCAAGACAGAGGTGGATGATGCCACAATGCAGAGGCAGACCTTGAAAGTCCAGCATTCCATACAAGTGTAAGCCCTTCTAGACCTCGGTTAAGGGAGTTGTGGACAGAGAGAGGGGGATGAGGACAGTTTTCCTCAAAGAGGAAGACAGAAAGAAGTAGAAGAGATTATTTAAGTAATGCCAATGGTAGAAAAAGATGGTTTTTTTTAAAGTATAGAGCTGCAAAACCTGTCACTCTCTAGAGATTGTAGATGTCCAGCTCTTATGAGTCCCAGCCAGTCCCACTAGTGATACAGTAATTGTATGGGCAGCAAAAATTAGCATAAAGGAAAACAAAGGCATCAGCTGTTGGTAGGCACCATGCCATAGACCTGTCATGGACATACACATGTTATATTCTTGCATATGGCATAGTTTAGGGGAAACAACCATGCTGTCAGCTGTGGCGAACTTTTAACTCCACTGTGTACCACAGTTTAGAAGTAAGCATTTCCCACATTCTGCTTGGGAGTTTTCATTTTGCCTGCTAGTTTATTAGTTGTCAGAATGTCTGGAAATATCCCACAGTTCATATGAAACTACAATATTTGTAGCTGTGCCATTGGTTTTTTGTCACAGGGTTCATTGAAACCTATTGATATCATCTCCATACTGGTGAAAGTTGCATTATTCATCACACACGTCTTGTATTCCTTTCAACTCCCTCAAATGGGATGGATGATAAATGGCAAAGAATGATGGGGACTGTAGTTCAATAATATCTGGAGGGCCACAAATTCCACATCTTTACCTTAGTGCATTGTCTGTATTGTTTCTCATAGCAGATTAGAGAGGATTTCAGCATATTTTATACAGCTGAAAGTACTGTAGTACTTTAGGAAGTATGTTTTGCTTATGCAAAATCTGAGCAGGTGAGGTTTATTCCACCCACTTTTGATGTGGTACAGCTAAAATTGTCCAAAAAAATGGAAGTTAAAACCCCAGACTCCAGCCCAGATATAAAATTCAATGCTATGGGGTTGAACGGTTTGCTTTGTTGAAATGTGTCTTACCTCAAAAGAACAGAGTTTTTATGGTTAATCTAAAGTTGTGTGATAGTGATGTGATTGCCTGCAAAGAATAGCTATGAAGCAATACAGTGATGGTCCATGCCGTGAGGCCTGCTTTGCCCCAATGACCAATTTTCAATAATCACAGCAGGGCACTATATGGGATGGATTGTTTTTTCAAAAAGTCACTTTACATTTTAAAATTAACCAATTTCTTTGGTCGTTGATTTTTTAATTGTTTTCAATAAAGTTATCCTGATGGCAATTTTTAAGTAAAGACTTCTTCCTCCCATCCCATCTCCTCCAGTGGTTTTCTGACAATGAACGTGATTACACAGGATCCACAGAACCTTTGGGGGAGCCATCAGAAATGTTTAATTTCCAAAACATATCCATGGCTGATGACATCATCAGCCTTACATGGAATAACTTACACAGTAGGGCTTCAGCTATCGTGTAGAGTCAATAAAAATCCAAAACCGTGTTGCATAAAAGCTGGTCAAGAATCAATGCCTATGGATCTCAACAAATTTGATTAAAGAAATAAAGAAAATAGAAATCTATTCACGAAGAAATCCTTGCAGATGCTTTTGCAGAACGCAGTCCAATATTATTGCAATTACAGACATCTTGCAAAGTTCCACAATGGAGGTTAAATACAAATTAATTTTCTTCTATTTGCCTTTGAAAATCTTCATTTTTAAAAGGCAAATAGAAGAAAATTAATAATAATAATAAAAATCCAAAACTGAGTTTAATGCAGTCACAGCACATCACCTGTGGCCTTCTCTATGAACCAATGCCTGTTCCTGCCCCAGGTTGCCTCATACAGTACAGTCCTGTACTGACACCATCCTAACCAGAGTTAGCCTTATAATTATGCACAAGTATCACTTCCACTTTCCCAATGCTGCAAACACTTCCTTATTTTGCTTTTCTGATTATTGAAAGGTACATCCAGTTTTATGTATTTCCATGAGCAATTGCTTTTCCAGATGTCTCATCATGTTCCATTGACTGCAATCCTTACATAAAGAGTAATTCTATTCTATTATATGTTTTTATTATATCTATTATTGTTAGCCACCCAGAGTAGACTTTGGTCTAGATGGGTGGGGTATAAATTTAATAAATAAATAAATTTGTGCCTTATAACGTTGAATGTGTTTTGATGTTTCTTCTGTTTACCTTCTTTTTCTGTGGTATTTGTTCCCTTTTAGTATTTTCGTACATTTTTTTGCTTTAAGTATTGTCTTTGAATGATGCAAACTGCCTTAGGTCCTTCTTAAGGAGAAAGACAGGGTAGATTTTTTAAATAAAATAAAATAAAATAATAAACTGGAACCTTTGCAAAAATGATCATGTACCATTAAACTTATATTTAGGTTTAACAGAAATCAGGTATATATAAGTCTACTCTCTATTTGTGATGAAAAATCTTAAGTCGTAACTTTTAATTGAACCTGACTCTGAGACAATATTTTGGGTTAATATTTTGCCAATATATATTGCCATTAACACACTTTTAAACATTTTCCTGTTTTAAGAGTGCCTTGGTGTGTGATTTTATACCTGGTGCTTGGAAATAGGCTCTGTATGTCTTACTTGTGTGTGAGAGAGTGTGTGCACTTGTCTGTCTGTGTCTTCAGATTGTTAACATTGTAAATTTTGGAGATATTTTTATTACTACATAGCTTTCTTTGGCTTTGTGGGTGGGTGAGTAAAATGATCAAGAAACAGAAGTAGGCTGTACTCTTGCTTAATTGATTGACTGATTCTGTTATTTGCTCTTCTGTCATGTATAACTTACTCCAGCTCTTTGGTTTATCAATGCTTGCCCTCTAGCATCTTGCATGGAAGAATCTCTCATGTTTGGACAGCACTATCAGTAAGTGGAAGAGTGCTTGGCATTCAAAAAGATGGGATTGTTTACCTTCATTGCCTATATTTTGGCATTTGTTGTCAGCAAGTTTTCCTTTCTCCAACCTGCATACGTAGGGCATATCCCTTGTGTGGACACATTACCACCATCAGTACAGCACTGAGAGGGTAGTATACATTTTCCAATATCACAGGGGAAAGTGGCAAAGCATGCCATTCTCCATAGTCATAGGTGTTTGCTTTGTTTCTCTTGTGTGTGCTTTCAGTGGTGAATAAAGAATTTCTTTGTGGTCCCTGTGAATTGCACTGATGGGTTCAGTTCCTGTACAGAGTCAGGTACAGTGCACCTTAGAGTCCTTTAGTTCTGTCTTCTCCACTGCCAGAGTAAGATGCTCAGAACATTCCCTATTGTAAGTGGAACTTGAGCTTATCTTACTTATTTGTTGTTTAAATTATTTTCTTTAATTTCTTTCTTCTTTATATATATAATTTTTACCTTTACTTTCTCCCCCACCCCATCCCATTGTTGCATTTTCTGTTTGGGAGAATCCCATTTATCCCAGTCCAGTACACTTTGTCAAAGCTTTACTAAACAAGGATGGAGATTGGGATAGTCAAAATTGTGACTTTGTCTTTGGGAAAAGTTGCAAAAGGCAGCCAATCAAGCCTCTGAACTAACTGTGGAATGTTCTCTCACTGAGAAGAGGTTGGTGTTTTCTGCCAATGTTGCTTAACCCCATGATGTGGCTAGTTTTGAGGAGCAATCTTTGTAAGATGCTCCATTAGTTCATCCATCTTTGAATTAAATAGGAAGTGCCAACATTATTGAACTTCCTGTTATTTCTTTGTATCACAATTTTTGACATACAGTATGTGTAAGAACACTAAAGTGAATGTTACTGCTATGCTTTGTGATTTGTGGGGCTATGTGTGCAAACATCTCTGGACCCACCAGAGAATGGAGAAGGGCAGAAGTAGGAGAGAGAGTCTCCAAACAGAAGTATGATCACAGCATTGTCACTAGTCATAATAGTTAGAGCATTCTGGAAGTTGTAGTCTCCAAAAGTAACTTTTCCAAACCCAGAGGTACATTTCTTTAGGTAATTAATCATCCCATTCTATCTCCTTGTTCAGAAAAGATATACTTTTGTCTAATACGAAATTCCTTTCAGGGTCAAACCTGAGACTTCTCCAATGAATCCTGTTATTATAATTTAAATGCAGATCTGCTTCCTATCAGATATAATTTTGCCTGATTTGAGATAAACTGGAACGTCCACATTGATACCCAGTATGGTGTAGTAGTGGATAGACTGACAGACTAGGACTCAGGTGGTCTGGCTTCAAATTCCTGCTCAGGCATGGAAACTAACTAGGGTTTTGTAATTGGTAAAAACACTCCTTAAATATCTCACTTACCTTGAATGGCCTATTAGGGTAGCTATAAGTCAGTTCCAACTTGCCAGCTTATAACAGAGCTTTCTTCAGTACATTTCCCCATGTAATCATACTTCACATGACCAGAAAGAAATAATGGAGAGAACTCTATTGCTCACTGTAACACACTTTGAAACCTAGACGCTGCCAGGTGATTTTTTCATGACGACTAGGGATGATGAAAATCAGTGTTTATTGGGATCTCTGTGCATCAGTCATGCATTCTGTGCCAGCACAGATCTCTGTTTTCGGAACTTGACAGAGCTTAAGAGTTTTACCAAATGCCCCACCCACAGTGCTAACCAAAAGGCAAGGCTCTCTCTTACCTCTGCTTTGTCAATGATAGCACATATTCTTCTCATGTGCTAGGGTTCTTTTCTTAAAGAACTGAAATTTCTAGTGAAAATAGAAATTAATCTTGTGGCATCTTGAAGACTAATGAGCTTTTATTTGCATGAGTATTCATGGACTGCACTTCATATAATTAAAACCCATCACTAATACTTCCTTCTTGCATGCTGGGTACTTTATAGGTCCATACACCACTACTCAGGTTCAAAAGGAGCCTATACATAATGTTGGATGTCATGGACCTTCAAGAGACATCATTCTCTGGGACCTTGTAATGATACCTGCAAATATAACTGACATTATATTTTGTTGAGGGTATTGCGAGGGATGTTTAAAAATACTTTATCATAGGCAAATATAATGTGGCTGCTTTTAATGTTGTTAGAGCAATAGTATCATAGCTGTAGTTCATTAATATCAATACCATAGCCATTATTATTTCAGAGGAAATAATATTTCCCTATTCTTGTAATTCAGCTAGATTCTGCTTCTTAACTAAACAGGTTGAATGGCTATTGCATTTGCAAAAAGGAGGTTTACTTAAAATATATCTAGAGCAGTATTTTTCAATTTTTGACCCTTCAAATTTTCGGACTTCAATTCATAGAATCCCTGATCATTTAACATACTGACTGGGAGTTCTGGAAGATGGCATACTAGATAACAGAAGGCTGAAAACCTAATGTCCTTATATCCAATAGGTTGCAATTGGGATTGCCTCAGACACAGTGACTGCATACAGAGGTCATATTTCCAAATCACAGTGTAAGGATGTGGTGTTCAAGAATTGTTCACAGCACAGTTTAGAGGTTCAGATTAGAACTGCTAGATAGCTCGTGGTTTAGGCATCTGGCTATGAAGCCAGATATTGGAAGTTTGATTCCCTACTGTGCCTCCTTAGGCTGGACTCAATGATCCATAGCGTCTTTCCAACTCTGCAGTTCTAAGATGCCATGGTATGCTTGTTTGAGGAAGCCAGGAAGTCTGCTGTAAGGAAGAACCCCATATGCTTCTTTGGTGACATGATATTTCAACATACTAAATATAAAATTAATCCACATGGACAGTGGATATAAGAATGAAGCCCCACCCCATTCTTTCAGCAGTCTCTTGTGCCATGTTTTTTATATACTGCTTTCAGCAGTCTCTTGTGCCATGTTTTTTTATATACTATTTGAATACAAGGAGTAGCTCAGAACTTTTTTTGGAACTCTAAACCAATGAATGTTTTTAGAATGCCTGATTAAATTGGATTTTACTGCAGTCATACTGTATATGTTTACTTCAACAACATTGGAGCATAACCAAGTACAAGTTCACAAATTATATTAATGTATGATCCAACACTCTAATCAATGCCCACCAGATTTTTTGAATGAAAATTCCAAGGATTCCTGAGCATTGGCTTTGTTGCCCAGCGATGATGATCATTAAAATTCAGAACACCTAGAGAGCAACAGGATGAGGAAGGCTGATTTGGGAAATCATAATTTACTTTGAAATGTTGTAGAAGTCTGAAACTTTTTCTACTTTAAAGTGACTAAGGCTGTAATACTGTAGCCACTTATTCACAGAACTGAATGGAATTTTCTGCTAGGTAGATACATGTAGGATTTCAGTACAGTATTTTAAAAATCTGTAAAAAAATTATATTTTACAGATTTTTTTAATAAAAATTATTTTACGAATTTTTAAAATAAATTTAAAGTAAAATTGTAAGTATAATTATTATTATTTTTCGTAGGAAAGCACTGGTACATCCGGAAGCAAGCGCTGGATATCACAGTGGGCTAGTTTGGCTGCTAATCATACAAAACATGATGAAAGTGAAGTACGGATGGAGTCATTTGCTCCTGCTGCTCTAGAAAATGGTACTGAAAATAGTTATTTTCTAATAGTTGTTTTAGCATTAAGAAATTGTATTGTCTGGTTATAACTTTAGCACATTTCATCTTGTTTAATTTTCTCATTGCTACTACAAAAGGAAAATGGTTGCTGTTGGAAAAGTGTAAATATAAGAGTTGGATATAAATTAAGTTAGTCTTACTTTGGACTCACTGAGATTAACCTGAAAAGCTAGTCATTACTAATTTGTACCCCACTGTTTTTCAGTGGGCCCGATCTACCACTGATTTGAATGTGGATGAACCCAATTCTTTGTCCCATATTTTTTTAAAAAAATAACATAGCTAGCTTTTTTTAAAAGTTCTTTAAGTTCTTTTTTAAACTGAAAATCAAAAGAAAAAAATGGGAAAGCATTAGCCTTTTTCTAAATTTACTGAAATATTTAAATAATGCATGATACATGTAGAATTCCAGTGGTCTTGTTTAACAATGGTCCTTACACCATCAATTTTTCTGTTTCAGATACTGACATCAGTGAATCTGGCTTCTCAACTAGAAGTGCGGGCTCAGCTACTTCATTGACCAGCCAGGGAGATCGAAAGAGGCGAACACTTCCACAATTGCCAAAGGAAGAAAATATTACAGAAGGACAAAGAACAAAACTAACAACCCATCAGAGATCGGAGATAGGTGAAAAACAAGACACTGAACTACAAGAGAAGGAAACTCCAACTCATACTCAGAAAGAAATAGGACAAGCTATTGATAAAAGCCTGAGTAAAACAAGCAGGGCAGTGAATGGCCTTTCTCCAAAAGCAGAGAAGACATTTTTTCATACCAACAGCTGCTTCATTTCAGGCAAAGAAAAAAGTGAAAATGGCAAGGAAACATCAGTTGTGAAACAAGCATTAGCTAAAATTCAGCAGCAGGAACAAAATGAGGTAACACATTGGATCCCCAGTAAATTATCTTCTGCAAAAGTTGCAAATCAAGTTGAAAGAGGGAGAGAGGAGCCTTCTGTTTCCCATAAAACAGATGCTAAAGAAAAGACATCAGGGCATGGTACAGGCAAAACAGAAAGTAAAGTAGCACAAAGTGAAGGGAAAAAAAAGAAGTCAGAAGAAACAAGTAAATGTCAAACTGTGAAAGGATTTACTGGGGACAAGAAAGACTCATCAAAACCATTAGTGAGACAAGGAAGTTTTACTATAGATAAACCAAGTACAAATATACCTATCGAGCTTATCCCTCACATTAATAAACAGACAGGCACCACCCCACCACCACTGTCTTTAACATCTACTAGAATAAGTGAGAAAAGTGACTCAGTGGAAACAGATTCTAGTCTAGATACTACACTTATTTTAAAAGATACAGAAGCTGTAATGGCTTTTCTAGAAGCCAAACTACGTGAAGAAAACAAAACAGATGAAGGACCTGAAACTCCCAGCTATAATAGAGATAATTCCATTTCACCTGAATCAGATGTGGATACAGCTAGTACAATTAGTCTGGTAACTGGAGACAGCGAAAGAAGACCTACACAAAAACGCAAAAGCTTTACCACTCTTTACAAAGATAGGTGTTCTACTGGTTCTCCTTCAAAGGATGTTTCAAAGTCATCATCTACAAGTGCTAGAGACAAAATTGAAAAAAAACCCAAAAGCCGTTCTTCAGAAGCTGGTTCAAGAGGTGATGCACGCAAGCTTGTACAGAGCAGTGGAAGAATAAGGCAGCCTTCGGTAGATTTAACAGATGATGATCAAACATCTAGTGTACCTCATTCTGCCATTTCTGATATTTTATCTTCTGATCAGGAAACATGCTCTGGAAAATCACATGGAAGGACTCCTTTTACCTCAGCAGATGAACACATGCATTCCAAAACAGAAACTATCAAATCAGCAAAGTTGAAGTCTTCTCCTGCATCAGCTGGACAATCCAGTAAGTCAATAACTCTTCCAAGGCCTCGCCCAACAAGGACTTCACTGTTACGGAGAGCACGACTTGGGGAAGTGTCAGACAGTGAACTTGCAGATGCGGACAAAGCATCAGTAGCTTCTGAGGTGTCTACTACAAGTTCTACATCCAAACCCCCATCAGGAAGGAGAAATATTTCAAGAATTGATCTGCTTGCACAGCCACGAAGAAATAGACTTGGTTCCCTGTCAGCACGAAGTGACTCTGAAGCAACAATTACTAGAAGCACTGCATCATCTCGTACTCCAGAAGCCATTATTAGAAGTGGCATTAGGCTAACACCACCAGCAGATAGTACTAAAGTTTCCCCTAGAATTAGAGCTAATAGTATTTCTCGGCTATCGGATTCGAAAACCAAATCTCTGTCTTCAACCCATAGTTCTCCATCAGGTATGATTTTTTTTTTTGAATTTTCTTTCCACATTCATTAATGTAGTCTTTCAGCACTATCCATTTTCAGTTGGCAATGAGATTGAAAATAAACCGTACCTGGGTAACACTTCCAGTATAATTGTTATATTGAATAAGAATAGCTTAATATAGACAGTGAAACTGAGTAGGAAATCAAAACAAGAGTAGGCCCACTGAAGCAGTGGACATTTGGTGAGTCAGCTCTTCCGTAAGTTCCATTGATTCAATAGCCCTATTATAGTTGCAATTTACTACTAGGCTACTGCCATAGTCATTTTAATGTTGTTCATTCTAATGCAAAATTGTAACAATTTGGCTGAATTTCTTTTAGAGCTAAATGCCTAATTCATTAATGAGTTCAGATTTCATAGAAAATATACTTGGAGCAATGATGTTTTTTCACTATAAAATACAAAGAAACACTACATATAGCAACTTCTGAGTTGCTTCTGAAACCTAATACAGTGGTGCCTCGCTTAGCGACGTTAATCCGTTCCAGAAAAAATGTTGCTAAGCGATTTAATCGCTAAGCGATTTTAAAAAGCCCATAGAAACACATTAAAATGTGTTTAATGCGTTCCTATGGGCTTAAAAACTGACCTTATGTGAAGATCCTCCATAGGGGTCGCCATTTTCGGTACCTCTAAAGCGAGGCAAAACAGTGGGGGGCCATTTTGGAACTGCCGATCAGCTGTGCAAAAAGGGTCACTTTGCCATGATCGCTTCCCCACGATCATCGCAACGTGATTTTTCCCCATAGAGGCCATCGCTAGCGATCGCTCTGGCGATGGCCAAAACCCCATCGCTAAGCGATTTCATTGCTCAACGGAGCAATCGCTAAGCGAGGCACCACTGTAGTTTGAAGTGCAAAGCACATTGAACTTGAACTACAAGTATCTGAGTTTAGGGTCTAGCACACCTCCCAATTTTCAATTCTCCCATTGTAAAATAGCCACTGAGTATCACCAAGTATTCCCATAGGGTGATTATGAGATGTTATATCATTTCTGATAGGGAACCTTTGAAGCTATAGATAATTTTCTCTGGCTTCCTTTGATCATCTTGAAGTTTTCTTCAACTTTTGAACAAATAAATATTCTTTTTCTTTCCATACCCACTGCCCACTATTCTATATAATTAATGAATATTTATTTTGTAGCACTTTTAAACTAAGTCCTCCGCAAAAGGCATTGACAATAACTAGTATTCAGTATATCTGTGTTCTAGATTATAGTTCTGAAGAGATGTGGTGAAGTTTTTCTTTTCCCTCCTCCTTAGAGTTAACATGTTTGTTTAAAAATCACCTTATGAAACTTCAGAACAGGGACCAAAGAGCTGTGAATGGATTGGGATTTGTTCTAATTAAATGAATACAAGAGGCAATCCTAATAAGGCTGGAGAATCTCCAGGAGGCTTCCAATAAAACATATACATTTGTAAACAGAAGGGACCAAATGGTGCTTATGTATGGATCTCTTTACAGGGTGGAAGTCCTACTGTGTGTGTGTCACTAGAGTATTCCTAAATTTCTCCTGCTGGCCTGCTCCAGAAATCATTTAAAACTTTTCTAAGTCTTTTGTTGCTGTTGCTGTTGTCCAAAGGAATACTAAATGATTCTGTATAGAAGAGACTGTTTTTCTTATTAACTATTTAATATCAGCACTATTCCAAAAATCATTAAATAACTACAAATCCATATAGAAGGGATATATTTTTACATGTCATGGTACACGATGGCGGGATAATTGCCTAGGTGCAACAAACAATGTTCATTTTTTCTTTTCCAAACTAAGTACATCTATAGAAGGGCCAGCTTTTACTTTGGGCTGGTGGATACTTCACTGAAATAAAGGATGATCTGTCTAAGAATCACTTTATGGCCTAAATGTTGAAAAGAAATTGAACAGACCCTATAAGACCTCCCCTCTAGACCATGTCTACTCGGGGCGAGATTGAACAGACCCTATAAGGCCACTTCACAAGGCATCCTGTCAGGGATCATTACAGTGGGGTCTTGACTTGAGAACTTAATCCGTATTGGAAGGCGGTTCTCAAGTCAAAAAGTTCTCAGGTCAAATCTGCATTTCCCATAGGAATGCATTGAGAACCATTTGATCCGTATCTGCTCTTTTCCGTCCATAGAAACTAATGGGAAGCTGCTATTCCGCCTTCAACCACTAGAGGGGGATATTTTGTTTCTTTTTTTCTTAGGTCAAGAAAGGTTCAGGGAAGGCAGGGAAAATACAGTCCAGGCAGTACAGTACCAGGCAGTCTGAAGACTGTCTCCCAGTCCACTCTCTGAACGCTGGGAGGAGTGAGGAAGCAGACAGGCACCCTTTTCACTGGCCAACAGTTAACTGACAGTTCAAATTTTGCACTTTCCCTGCCTCCCACGTGGGTTTTTTTCAGTTTGTAACTCAAATCTAAGTATGTAAGTCAAGTCAATATTTTCCTATGAGAGTGGTTCTTAAGTCGAAATGTTCTCAACTCGGGCCGTTCTTACGTCAAGACCCCACTGTATGTGTAGAGCAGAGGAACAGGACTGCACCAATGGACCTATCCTCGCAAAGATGCACATTAGGTGTGGATGCTTGGAAGTAAAAGGCTTTATGTTGAGATCTGTGCATGTAGACTTTCCTTCGTGGACATTCTCAACTAAAATGTGCATGTAAACATATTTACTTGATTATTAATAGAATGTTTATGTACTGGAAAGTTTAAGGGGGAAAAGGAGGAGAAATGTATATCCTGGTAGATTTTTAAAGCATAACACTAACATTTCAGGTACAAAATGAGAGGACTGATGATTTTTCAGAAATAGAAAATAGGCAATAATACACCTATGTTTTGATATGAATTTTGTAACCATGATTTTTTGTGATATATATCTCAATACCAAACATAAGAAGCTAGCTAACTTTAAAAAAATTAGTTTTCAGATCTACAGTTTGTAAGATTGCACTACCTGTATAAAGTTCTGGAGCATTTTTAATGCTCTCAGTCTGGAAAATATATTTTGATAATTTTACATCCAAATTAGTGAGTATCCCCTCCTGATTTTGTTGCAATTTAGTTACCAGATTTCCAAACTGAATTGAACTGAATTCTAAAAACTTTACTAAGTGAGTTCGGATGAATGTATGATTTTCCCCACATTTTTCTTTCTCAGTGGATATTAATATTACCTTTCAAGCAAATGCTTTAAATATGTATGTCTTCATTAACATGATAAACAAATATTTTATACACAGAGGCATACCGTCTTCTCCCAGAACCAGATCCTGCTCTTGAAACTTACAGTGGTAGAGTACTAGAAACATTTTTAAAATTTTTTTTGTTCACTCCTAAATACCTGGTTTTTATTTATATATGTTTTATTTTCAGTGCTAACATTTTACAATGCTGGGTTGCAGGAACAGTTCTACATGTATAAAACAATTTTTTAAAAAACCCAAACAGATTTTATCATTTTAAATACATAAAATACTTGGAATTGATGGTTGGAGCCCTTTGAGAACAAATCAGAATGTACTCCAGAACACAGCTGGGCCCAATTCATGCTATTTCTTTAGCTCTCAATTCTGTTTTTGCATGCTTTTAGAAATAGGTGCTTTTTCTGCTTATCGAACTGTTGATATGCTTTTTAATTAATGGTGAAAAAAATCAATCTTCTAAATATTTGACAGCAAAGCCGCTCTTATTGGTCTCTGCTCATAAAATCTGGTATTGAAATAATACATTTAGTCTTCAGCTGACTGGACTGTAATAAAGCTGTATTCTAACTTCACAGGCTACTTCTATTTAGAGTTCATTGTATACATTCTCACTCAAAAATGATAGCTATCTTTACCCATTGTAAAATTGGGCATTTACATTTCTAACAAAATATGAACAAAATCCTGAATTATTTTATAGGTATCATCTGTGGTCTGACTTGCGTTAGCAGAAAGAATATCTTTTGAATACCAACTTTTAAAAAATAAGATAATATGATGTTCATACTACTAAGATACTATTCATACTACCATTGCATGAAAGGCTTTTAAATAGTAAAGTGCACAGATGGGCTTTTAAAAAGTAAATTGTAGAGATCAGGTCTCTGGTGTGGAGGGACAGATTGGCTTTAAACCTTTTTGCACTAGTGACGTCCCAACTCACATTGGGGACCCAGTCCTTGCTCTTTATGATCACATTGAATGACAAGATTTTCCCAATAGAAATAGCACATCTGGGAGTCCTGCTCTACATCAGGACCACAGTAGGGACAACATGTGAAAGCTATTCTGTCCTCACACAAATGTCTCAGTCTGCATTGGGCTCACATTTCCAGTTTACTTCTGAAAAGCCAATCCTACAGTTGCTTGATTGCACAAAGAATATCTCATCTTGTTTGGCTCTACATCAGATATTAATTGTAGCCCAAGGTAACCAATCTCCAGAGACACATATAAAAGCATATATTGGTGCTTCACTTGTCAGATTATGAAGGCACAGATGTATTTTGAGTGGTTCTTATTGGTATTAGTGGATATCCTTCAACATACAAACAAAACCTCTTTGTGTAGTGGTCACTGAAAATGGAAATGTTGGCTCTTGAATTGACCTTTACTGTTCTTCCTAAAAATGTAACAAAGGGTCATGATTACAAGTCCAATCTGCTCTTATAATGGTTAGTGAATGCTACCTGATGTCTTAAGGATGAATTTCAAACAACACAATTTATTTTTCTCTACAAGTACTTTATTTCACTTATGGTAATTATGGTTCAAGTTATCTAATATATATTTAGACTTCTTTAACAATGGACAGAATTTGCAGAAAAAGTACAAGTTCATTATAGAGATGAAGGATGATGAATTGGGCCCTGATATATAGCAGGCTAGCATCATTCCTGTCTTGTTAACTCAGCATTGTACAAAAGGTAGCCTTTTTTCACATTTTGAAAATTAGCCACCATTATTTAACAAACTTTTAGTAGCTTTCTTTTTTAAACTGTAGTCAGCAAACACTTTTTATGAGGTATTTTGGGTTTGGAATAAAGTCAATGTGATGTGCTGTTATGATGTTTCTAAAATAATAACTTTATTTCTTAAAATAGAAACAATAATAATTCTTTTTTAATAATTAAACTAATTTAGTAAATTCAAGATGGAGGCGCTTTCCTACTGATTATGCTTCCACCTCAGAAGATGAATTTGGATCAAACCGTAATTCTCCTAAACATGCCCGTCTACGTACTTCTCCAGCCCTGAAAACTACTCGATTGCAGAGCACTGGAACATCAGCGCAAACTAGCAATGTCTTCAAGCATAGGATAAAGGAACAGGAAGATTACATTCGTGATTGGACTGCTCATCGAGAAGAAATAGCAAGGTTGGCTTTCAAGGGATGAGTAGACAGTTGAAAATATCAGCACCTTACAAAGTCATAGGCTAGTAACAGAATGTGTGTGATACTGGGTTTATTTATAGACTATATTAAAACCGTGCAGTCGGCTGTGGAAGCATTCAGAGCTTTCTTTTATTAGCAGGGCAAGAACCTATTATAGTGTTCTTAAATACAGAATAGTTACATCTAGATGTCACATAAAAAATAGAAGCTGCATTATGCTGGATCAGACCACAGGTTCATCTTCCCCAGGGTTTCAGACTCACACTACAGTGCAAATCTAAGGTTTTCACATTCATCCACTCCTCTGGGGTGCTATGATTAAGAGTTCAGAACCTTTTACTTCCACTTTCGATTAACTACACATTTTTGTTTTCTATAAACCTGTCAAACTGTGGTTAATCTTAACTGTGTTTTATTCTGAATCAACAAAATTCACACCATAGGTTGCAAAATGAGTTTATTTGGAAATATTCTGGCTCAGAAACAAGATTTGTATTCCAGATATGGAACAAAAATAAAAGAGATGGATTAAATTATTTTGCTGACCAGGGACGTGGTGGTGCTGCGGCTTAAACCACAGAAGCCTCTGTGCTGTAAGGTCAGAAGATCAGCAGTCGTAAGATTGAATCCACGTGACGGAGTGAGCTCCTGTCGTTTGTCCCAGCTCCTGCCAACCTAGCAGTTTGAAAGCATGTAAATGCAAGTAGATAAATAGGTACCACCACGGTGGGAAGGTAATGGCGTTCCATGTCTAGTCGCGCTGGCCACGTGACTACGGAAACTGGCTACAGACAAATGCTAGCTCTACGGCTTGGAGACTAGGATGAGCACCATGCCCTAGAACTGGACACAACTGGACTAAATGTCAAGGGGAACCTTTACCTAGTGAGTAATTTCATAGTAACAGAAAGGTTGGCAAGTGTTGTGTTGGAAAATAGACTTTTCTCATTGAGATGAGGAGGACCCTTGATGTAGGGAATTCAGAACTCTTCTTGCTGATGATTTGGGTGTAGCTTGTGACACAGTAGAGGTTCATAAGTTCTTTGTTCCATCATCACATCCAAGTGGCACAATGTGATTTTTACAATATATTATAGAATATAATAGACATATTACAGAATAGAATAGACACCTAGTTTATTCGTTGATTTTTATTTTATTTTATTTCATTTTTGCTTGAGGGAAATCTACTTCTTCACAAGGCCTCCATTAACCCATTTAAAAAAATCTGCATCCCAAAAGTTTTTTTTTAAGGAGCTGAAGTCCAAGGAGAAATGCTGTACTTCAGAAGTGACATGGTGTCTTTCAAACAAAGCAGTTCCCACGCTGTTATCAGCTCTGAAAACAACAACAACAAAAACCACAGTAGATTCCTTTGTTGAATGTCATGTTGTTGAAGCATTATAGTGTTTATGTTCATAGCCCTCCTTTCTTTCCAGGAGCTCAAGTTAGTGTAGGTATCAAAATATCTCCCTGGAGGAGGTTAAGCTCGAAGATGATAACATGCCCAAGAGCACCAAGTAAGCTTCAGTTTTCAGTAGCTATAGGAACCTAGTCTGTCTAAATCCAGCTGGAGATTTTCCCCCTGTGGAGGGCCTTGATTCACAGTAGAAGACTTCTACTAGAAGTCAACCAGGGATTAAAGCCTATCAGTGGAGTAAGAAGCAACAGCGGGCAGAGTCAGTCCTCTTTGTCTTTTTGGCACCACCTTTTCCTTTTGTTAGGGCACCAGGGCTTTTCTTACTCTCTCCCCTGCCACACATGCAAACCATTTCCTTCGCAAGCACTGAGAGCTTGAATGGATTGACACACAGTTACAGGAACATGGCTCTTCGGTTGTATCACTACCAAGATGCTTGCTTGTTGCTCGCCCCTGCACTCGTATGTCTCTGCACCTTTGTCTTGACCCAACAGCATGCAGTTTGTGCTATCAAGAAAGGCATCAAAAGTCAGAGGAGATGTGGTCATGGGCTTGCTTTAACCATTATATCACACTGATTATGAGAAATGGCACTTGATATTGTTTTTGAGTCCAAATGGAAAAACAAGAATAAAATTTAGTATTAAAATTAATTTAAGAATTCAGATATGTCAGGTGAAATAATACAGTTACATGTTTTGGACTCTCTAAGGTAGGGTGGGTAATTCTGCTCTGTTATAAAAAACACTACAAAACTAGTTCACATTCATAATTAGAAATGTTATAATAACCATTTATATTAAAACATAATAGGTTGGCTCCAAAGGGATACTTTTATAATCAAAGTACATCTTATCACACAAACGTGGTCTGCATGCAACCTTCGGCCCGTCACATACCACACCATGCAGTCTCAGGACAGGCTTTTAGTGTGATGAAAGAAGGCAGAAAGGAATGCAGCTTATTGTTGGTCTACCATTCAGTCATATCTATAAAATAACTTGAGCTAACATTGTGTAAAATATCAAAATATTCATCTTCTGATTCTGGATATCCAAAATTGTTTGTACAGAATAACTTATAAAAACAATGGATATATCTACAGAAGGATATCTGTAGGATTTTCATCTTTTTTTCCTCCTAAAACTATAGTGTATAGATCCTAAATAAACAGTAAGGAGGCATATACTTTTTACTCTCTATAAATAAATCTGAGAAGGATGAAATGATTTGCAGGAGGGAAGCAATCTACCAATAGCAATCATTCATGGAAGCTAGCAAATATACTCTGGACAATCAAAACAGAAGGAAGACCTTGGGAATTGTAGGCTATACCACAGAAATAATGTAATGGTATATATGTGTGAATTTATATTTCTTGGTTTCTCTCCTATTAGCCCCAGGTTCTAACAGAACAGCTTCCATCAGTGAATTAGCAGGCAGTGTTATCCTCTTCTGTCCTGTTACTCCCCATACCCTCTAAAAATGTGTTCCAGATTATTGTGAGACTTTTAGGGCAAATTGAAGGGCTTCAGAGAAAATAGGAGGAGAGAGGAATGAAATGTTGCCTGAACATCAATATGCTTGCAAAACACTGGATTTCACCCTTTCTTTTTACTGGAAGTAGAATGTATTATATAATTAAATCCTCAGTTAACTACAAGGTTAGAAAACATTATGTTAGCCCATGGTTGAAATCATGTAACGACATTTTTGTATGATAAAAGATGCAACAATGAATTTCAAGCATTAAAAATATGGAGAGAACGAGAGAGATTTATACACTTACAGCAGAAAAATGAGAGAGTCATTTAGCTGAGGTATTGCCTACTACTGTTCTTTTATCTATCAGAGCTACAAGAAGGCATTTTCAGTGATCCTTAGTTTAAAATCCTGGAAATTGTAGTGTATTCCAGATTGTAAAGAACCATAATCTAGACTTTGAGCTTGATCACCTGTAATGCTGTATTAATCATTAACAGGATCAGTCAGGACCTGGCTCTCATCGCAAGGGAAATCAATGATGTAGCAGGAGAGATAGATTCGGTGACTTCATCAGGCACTGCTCCTAGTACCACAGTAAGCACTGCTGCCACCACCCCTGGCTCTGCCATAGACACTAGAGAAGAGGTAGGAGATCTTCATGGAGAAATGCATAAGGTTCTTCCTTTTCTTTATTTCTTTTGCTTTATCCTTTTGGCATTGTTTTTATTTATTTTTACTTCTATGTGCATGAACACATTTTTTCTTTCCTTTTAAGGTTAGATTATCTACTACTATCAAACACTGATCAAAATCCAGTAGTAAGTCATAACTAGAGTAGGCCTATTGGTGTGGATCTTGTGAATCAATTCCTTTGTAAGTTTCATTGATTCAGTGAGCCTGCTGTAGTTATTACTGGATTGCAACCATTCATTCTCGTATGTAAGGAATATGTTTTTACTATGATCAATATAAGAAGGCAATACAATTAACATGATATAATTTTAAAGAGCAGTTAGAACATAAGATCCTTTGTTTTTTTAAAAAATTCTCATATCCTCAGATGCAACTGAGTAATATCTCTAAGTGCTTCCAAGAAAAAGAAATATATGTTTATATCCCGTGCTATAAAATATTTATGTGTTGGATAATGCACTGTGCATTTTAGTGGTCTTAGATTTTCCTGGACTTATTTTTACTTCTGAATAATCTACACATTCTAAGCTAAATTCCTTTATTCATTATAAACAATCTAAATTAGCACAGCTTCATGCTGCAGTTGAAGTTTTGGCTTCGTGTGATGTGCTGTTTTTGTATGTGAATTTGCTTGTTCATGTCACTATTGCAAACTCTAGTAAATGCACTTAAAATTACATAAAATCAATTCCCTTCAAGTTATGTTGCTGTTTGTCTTGTTCTTAATTCTTTGTTTAGTTTTCAGGGTTGGCAGTTTTCTTAGAAAAAGTAGTTTCAGGAGTAGGCCAATAGTAAACACCTCTTTTCTTTTAACAAATTGGAAACACTACACTGATAAAATTTGATAGTAGTTGTTTTGCAGTGAGGATGGTCAGTTATGCCTGTCTGTTGCAACGACTACCAATCTTGTGATGCTTTGAAGACTAACAGATACTATTTCATCAGTTGCGCCCTCTTCAGTCCTTTATCTGTTGAGTTTGTCTGCACAATTTTAAACCAGTAACAACGAAGTAGAATAAAGTCTATATTTGTAACCTCATATGAAACATTCAGAAATAGAGTTCCAGCACTGAAACAAAGATCTGAGAAGGAAAATTTGTGCTGTGGTTCTGCATTACTAGGCATTAACATTTTCAAGTAAACAACAATTTGTCCCAAAGTAACAGATGCTAGCCTCCAGAATGTAACTTTTGAAATACAGATTTTAGTATTTCGTTCTGACTTTAATTCATTACTATAAATAGTGATTTTGTTGTTTTTCAGGAGATGGTTGAGAGACAGCCATGATTTTACCTAGCAAACACACACAGACACACACATACACACACACACCCCACCAACTATTCTATGCCAAAATATGCCAACCCTGAATATTCACTCTTTGTTGTGTTGTCCCTGTTGATTTATTTTAAATTCTCAAGCATAAGACTTGGTTAACAGTGTTTGTTGTGTGATTTTTACTCTGTTCATGTTGGTTTCTTTTTATTGTTCCCTACTCACGCTACTAAGCCTCTGGTAATGTAAATATGCATTTTCTCTGAGTTAGATAATGTTGTAATACCTCTTTACTACATAAATGTGAGCACCACCCTCTTCTGTGCAGCAGTAACAGAAACTAGAATGCATCACCATTATGTGACACTCTTCTTCTTTTGGTCAATATCAAGTTGTGGAGCTTCTTAACTAAAATAGTGTTTTGGGCGGAATTTACTAAATTATTTTGTTGTATAATATATAGTGGCATACGTCAGTCATTTTATGCTTTCATAGAGGGAACATTGGAGGTAGGGGACTCATAGCAGTTCTGTAGTTTCTTTCCTTTTGTCACTAATTTTGTCTGTATGGGTGTAAATTTATATATATTCTCAGTTAGTTGACCGTGTATTTGATGAAAGTCTAAACTTCAGGAAGATTCCTCCAGTAGTGAACGCTAAAACCCCAGATGGGAACTCTCGGCCTAATGAACCCAAGCCACAGTCAACAGATGTTCCTGAACCCCCCACAATTACACGTCGTCGAACCTGGAGTAGGGATGAAGTAAGTGTCTACTGTGCTTTAAATTCACATAGACAAATGGATAATCCAAAGTTTCAATCAGTTGCCTCTTTTTGACTTTCAGTACCAGGTCATTTAGGTGTGAACTGTCTCTTCCACAGTTAGGAGTATGTTTTCATTCTGGATTCTGCATTGTTATTATTAATCCTATAGGCAGCTTTTAGTGTGTTAGAGGTGGATTCTGGCTTAATAAAGCAGAGGCCATGAGCCCCAGAAAAAATTGGAACTCTAGGGTAATCCTGTGGTAAATGAAAAAAGGCTAAAGGGAAGCAGCAGCATACAAGACTGAAGTCGTTCTAGGAAGGTTACATGCAAATGTATGTTTGACAATTATTTATTTCTGTATCACATTAAAATTTGTCTTTTGGCCAGTGAGCTCAATGTGGTGAATATGGTTCTTCGCCACCCCACTTTATCCTCTAAACAACTTTGTTGTGAAGGAGCTCAGTTTTTTCCTTTTCACAAGGCTGACCTGCTAAATTATAATAATCATAATTACATAATTATATTATAATGTTCATTTTAACAGTATATATATATATATAGCATCTAGATTTTTGGGATGCCTCCAGTTTTACACAGAGGGCTGAGATACTATTTTTAACATAAAAGTGCATTCATAAAATAAATACATGCATTTAATTCAGACTGGCCATAGTCAAACTGATAAGCTGCATCACTGTTTTAATCATAAAATAGTAATGTTGTTACCAGATATTTGGCTATAGTCAGGTTGTAGTATTTTCTTCTTTTTTTATGAATATACTTTCAGAGTGTGCCAGGGCTTTCAAAAACTACCTTTACAGCTCAGGGTTGTTTTCTTAATTTTGATGTACATATGTGTCAAAGAGATCAGCATTAGAGATGAGGGTATTCGTATTTGTATACAAATATAAATACCCCCGCACAGGTAAACAGTCCATCGCCAGGGGTCCAGACACTCATTATGTCGACCTGTGCAGGGGTATTCATATACAAATATCCCCATCTCTAATCAACATAATTCGGAGTTTTAGCTAAAGCCACAAAGTTCACTCTTTTTTTCAGAAAATAATCTAGAAACTATTTTGATTCAGTAAAAATTATCTCCTTGAAATATTTCAGGTTATGGGAGATACCTTGCTGTTGTCCTCAGTTTTCCAGTTTTCCCGGAAGATTAGACAATCTATAGATAAAACAGCCGGTAAAATCAGGTAACCTGTGCTCATTGTCAATACAGTACCCTGGCAAAGAAACGTTATTAAAAGGTTGAGGTGTAATTTGCAGCTCATATCAACTAAGAATGCATAGAGCAAGAGTCTGCTGTATTTTTCAAATTTAAGAGGTAAAATATAATTTTCTATTAATTTCTTAAATCAAACTTAAAATGGATTAAAATGCACCAGTAGTTAGGAAAAAAGAGAGTCTGAAGGAAAGAATTTAGGTTTCTCTGCTAACACCTTCATTTTAATTAAACCTGTCACTTGGCAGTGTGACATGAATAACTTGTGTGGCTGGAAATAACAGCAGCACATTGCTCAAGTTGTCGAATAGTATTTATCTTAATCCCCAACCTGATTCCTTTGGAAATATGAAGATAACATGTCTCCTGAGCTAATATGCAATAATGCTTTATTTATTTCTTCACGAACAAATAAAGTAATTCTCTCTGTCCCCTCACCCAACCCCCTCAGCTTTTTCATTGCAGCCTCTCTCTACATTTTAGCATTAATGTTTGCTAGTTCTTCTGGTCATATTGCTTGGTTCCATTGTCATACTGCTCTAACATTAGGGCGTTTTCCCTGATATTTAACTGAAATATGGCTTCCAATAACTTGAGATCATTATTACATGTCCTGCATTTTGAGATGATTGAACATGACAACCTTTCAAGTATTTGAAAAGTGATATTCTGTCTCCCCTCGTCTTCTTTTTTCAAGATTAAAAATACCCAATTCTTTCAGTCTTTCCTTATAGGCTTAGTTTCCAGTTGTCTGATCCTCTTTGTTGTCCTCCTCTGAACTTGTTCCATTTTGCATCCTTATTGCATTTTGAGTACTGTGACTATAGATGTCCAGAAAGAGAGGGAAATTAGTACTTCACAGGATTTGGAGACTATATTTCTGTTCATGAAGCCTAAAACAGCATTTGCCTTGTTTGTGGCAACATTCCACTGTTCACTCATATTCAGCTTGTGACCTATAATAATTTCAAAATCCTTCTCACATGTAATATTACTGAGCCAAATAACCTCCATCTTGTAACTATGCATTTGGTCCCCCACAAGTGTAGGAGTTTGCACTTATCCCTGTTAAATTTCTTTCTGTTGTTTTAAGTCCAGTATGCAAGCCTGTTAAGAGCTTTTTGAATTTTGTTTGTCTTCCAGAATATTAACCATTCCACCCAATTGTTTTATAATCAGTAAATTTGATAAGCATTCTCTGCACCATATCATTAATAAAAAATATTGCACTAGGCCCAGGACTGAGACTTATGGTACCCTACTTGTCACCTCCTCTTAGTTTGAGGAGGACCCATTGATAAGCAATCTCCGAGTACAGTTCTGTAACAAACTGTGTATTCACCTGATAGTTGTTCTATCCAGTCCACATCTAGTTAGCTTGCTAATCAGAACATCACGGGGTGCTTTGTTAAAAGCTTTGCTGAAGTCAAGATATATTACATTTACACTATTCTCACCGTCCACCAGAGAGGTTACTCAATGAGACAATGCAATAAGATTAGTCTGGCAGAATTTGTTCTTAAGAAATCTGTGGTGGCTTCTAGTTATTACTGCATTGTGTTCAATGTGCTTGCAGAGTGACCACTTTCTAATCTGTTTTCCCTGGGATTGATATCAGGGTGACTGGTCTATAGTTATAGCTTCCTCTTTTTTGCCCTTATTAAAGATATGGACATTATCCCCCCTCCAGTCATCTAGCACATCACCCATCCTCCATGGTTTCAAGAAATAATAGATAGTGGTACTGAAAGTTCTTCAGTCAGTTCCTTCATTATTATTGGATGCAGTTCATTGGATCCTGGATATTTTCAAGGGTATTCCTTGAATGCTTCTTCATCAGTCTCAAGCTGCAATCCTGCCCCCTCCACTTTTATTTCACATTTGCCTGAAGAGTAATAGACGGACTGTCTTTTGGGAAAATACTGAGCTAAAGTAGGAATTGAGCACATCTGCATTTTCTTTGTCATCTGTTGCCATTTTTCCATCCTCATTGAGTAGTTTAGTGGAGCCACTATTTCTTTTCTCTGTCTTTTGCTACAAATGTATCAGAATAATGCTTTTTATTGCTTTTAGCAACAAATTCTCTTGCTAACTTCAGCTCATTCTCAGCTTTTAATCTATCTATTTATTTTATCCATTCGACTTGTATGCTGCCTGCACTCTGCAAGAGTCTCTGGGCAGTTTTAGCCTTTTTGCCTTCCTAATATCATCCCTGGAATTCTTTGCTACCCGTTTGTACACTTCCTTTGTGGCCTGGCCTTCCTTCCAGATGGAGCCAGATAATCTGTCTTATCCAGGAACTTCTGAAGCTGAGAACCATTTCACTCCAACATCTAGCCCAATAATGACATATTGGAGACTACATTATAATTATTCAATGCAGTTGGATCCAAGGAGGGCTTTTTAAATAGCAATCTCACTATTTTGTCCTTTAGACATGCTGGAAACCTACCTTGCTGCAAGGAAGCATTTGCCACCCCTTTTACCCACTCACCCACTTCTTGAGCCAGCAAGAACAAGGATACATATGGTGGCCTTCATCATTCCAAAGATGCTGTCCATATCCTCAGGCTACACAGATTGAAACCTGTCCATTAAAACAGGACAAGTTGGGAACAACGTTACTTTCACATGACCTGTGTCAGCTGCAGCATCCAAGTCAGAACAGATGTGAGCAACCTTGTCTGCAGGTTGTCATGCCAACCAATCACAGTGGGCTCTCAAGTGATTAGCGTCTTGTTCTTGAGGAAAACCACCTAATAAGCCCTTAACCACTCAAAATAGGTCTACTGGATAGTTCTGTGCAGATGCGGGAATGCTTAAGAGCAGTTTCTCAATTCCAAAGCTCAACAGGGGCTTTGACAGGATCACCTGACAAGGTGACAGGAAACTCTGCAAGAGCCACCAAGAAACCTTTTGATCTATCAGTTTCCTGGGGCATACTATCCTAATCAACTTCCCACCCCATGCGGGGTCTGAGGTTCAGGGAGGCCAGACTCCAGCAGGTACTAATTTGTCTATGACAATGGACTATATAGACAATCGGCAATGGAATTACAGAAAGTTTCTGCACAGTCCTCACTTGCTCAGCATAGAAAATTAGGACCAGAGTGTGCTCTGCTACATGACTGAGTCAAGATATCATTTGGGGCAGTTCTGTAGCTGACATGAAATTCTTGAAATCCTAAGACACGCCTCACAAGGACAAGAAGCCAAAGGGACTCCAGCATCACCTCCAACTTGGATAGCTCAGGAAGGGAAACTGTTGATAAGTATACCAACAGAATCCCTGTTCTGTACTGGTCATCCACTTTCAGGTAAACACACTTACAACCCAGCAAAGAGTGGGGCACATGGCACATGAGAAGGAGACTGGAATCACCGTAGACTATTGCAGCTCCACCTCCCCCCCCAAAAAAAATATATAGATTGCTAATGCACAGTGAACATAAGTAGATAGCTGAGAATGATTGTGTCCTCCAGATTCATTCCACCAGGCATTTGTAATAGAGACTAGATCAGCATGTTCATCCAGGATTAGGTCCTGAATAGTTGATGCATTTTCTTTCACCAATCTGGCACTCCGCAGCAGCACTTTCAACCCAGGGCTTGACAGAGGACAGGAAGCTCGATGGCCTCAACAGAAAAATCTATTATTCCCTTGCTGTGTTCTCCCTTATGGTTGCCAATTATCGGACATTTATGGGGGCTCATTAGTAGTTCCTTTGAGAGCAGTACATCCTTGACAAATTTCCAGATGATGACCAGAGATAGCCTTCATCTTCTACACAGAGGCCCACCATCTCGGTATCCAGCAAATTACTACTGCATGCTGTCTAGCCAGCTGCAAAGCCAAAGCCCAGGCAACAGCCATTCATTGAGGAAACATGTGCAGCTATGCTCTTTTAGACCTGTATTCAGAGGTGAGTCCTACAGTGGAGGAGTTACCATTTGACAAACTCAGCCTCTTTCACAAAGAGATGGATAACAGGCTGGATCTTTACCTGCCTGCCTGGGCAGCTATTGCATCAGAATGTTAGACCCTCCACATCACCACAAAGAGGTGCTTTATCCATTTCACATCAGCCCTGCATACAGGGTTGTCCCTCCTTCCCCTATCTTGTGCAAATTCTTTCCCTCCTTTTCAAGGGTGCAGTAGAACCAAACTCCACTCAAGCCAAAGTTTCTTCTCCAAATACTTTGCTATCCCCAAGCAAGATATCCACTCCATCCTTAACTTTTGAGCCCTCAATGCCTACATTGTCAGTGCTGCACTATCACCTTGGCAGCCATTTTGTCCCTTCTCCACCAAGGGGAATGGTTTGCCACTGAGGAACTGTGTATTTCCACATATCTATCCATTCAGATTACCATTGTTTCCTTTCTTCCACCTTCAAAGCCACCAGTTACCAATTTCTCATCCTTTCCTTCAGCCTGGCCATCACCCCCAGCATGTTCACAGCAGCAGTAGCTGCTCACCCTGGGCATCCATGTCTATCTGTACATCAATTGCTGGTTTATCATTGCACTCTCAAAGGACTACCTTCATGTTTCCCTGCACAGAACAACCAGCCTTCTCACTTCTGTAGACCTCCACATAAATGCAGAAAAGTCCCACTTCCTTTCCCCTAGACACTTACAGTTTTTAAGTTCTGTCCTGCATTCCCTCTTGGAAAGAGCCTTTGTCTCAGAGGACAGGATGCACACCTTTTCCAGATGGTCACCTTGGTAGCTTCTACCTGTTATCCCACCCCTGCTCTTCTCCAAATATTTCTGTCTCATGGCAGCAACTACTAACATTCTTCTGTAGCCAAACAGCATATGCATCCCATTCAAAACTGTTTCTTCTCCCAGTTTAACCACTTCAAGGTAATCCTAACTATAGGACAAAATTTATGAGGATGATATATGAGGTGTTGGAATGTAAAAAATATAAACACTGATCATTAGATTAAGAGTTGCTGTTAACAAATGGTAGTTGGGTGGTAATACAGACAATAGTGATAGCCTGAAGATACTTCTCATTTTGTCTTTTAACAGCTAAACTCTAGACAAGATGTCATGTACCAGTGTAGGTAGAAGACACAATTAAAAAAATAATAGAAATAATCTAGTGCTACTACTCATATATTGTTTTAGTCCTGTCAAGGTTTGAAATGCTCTTTCACCTTGCCAATTTTTCCTGCCTCCAGTACTCAAAGAATATGGAACATCACAGCTTCTATAGTAAGGCTCACTGCAAAGTGCAAATATTAAATATTTAGATCTGTCTACAGAAACTGTGATAAGGTGTGTATGTGAGGGGGGCATTTGGCTAAGCAACAGGATTTCTGCTGATCTTTATTGTTTGCAAGAAAAATTAAGACTAGTTTGTACTTCCACATAAAACTGAAAATACCATTCTGTTTTTTTAAACAGACATTAGAGTTTTTCAAACAGCTGGCCCGGTTTTATTTTCATTGATTCATACAAGTGTAATATGATAATGGTCACATCATTCTGTTTTGTTCCTTGACTACAGAATATTATTTAAGGACAAAGACCGAAACTGGGAAGACATTGAAAAGAAATTGAGAATTGAGAGTGAAATCCCAATTGTGAAAACATCAAGTATGGTATGATAATATAATAATATTCACCCTTATTAGGTAGGATGAAAAGGGGGGGACTTATTTCTTTTTCAAAACTTAAAGGAAATAGATTTTTGATGTTTATAATTAAGAATTTCTTCACATTAAAAGCTGTTTCTTACAGGAGAAAAAAGAAACTTAACCTCATCATGGCGAAAATCCTGTTAATTAAAGTTTTGAGCCCAAAACTCATCTGCAACTCATCCTTAGTCAGTCTGATTGCACACAAGTCAGGCAACCCCTAGGATTGAAGCAGGAACTCCTTAAATACCAGCAGTGGCAGAAACAGGAACACTTTAATTACCATATTCTCCCCCTGCCAGTATACCTTTACAGAGGCATAATTTGCTTAACAGGCATTTCACCTATGAAATGTTGTTATTTCTCAAAAGTGTGTACAGACTGCCTCTCGTCGTTACAGACAGAAAAACAGTTTATAAAGTAAAAGCAATATAATAAAAACAACATGTTCAAGAATATATCCAGAACTTAGTAAAACCAATATTAAAGACCACTATTTCTGGATGCCTGTGTGAGTATGTATTGTTAACAAAATAGCACAACACTTAGACCAGAGGATCCCATCTTTATCTCTAATAGAAGGTAATTTATTACCACAGTAGATTAACACCACAGCGGAGAAACCCTCATTTAAGTGCCATAGGTTTTTCTCTGGTAAACATAGTATCATTATAAGTGCCTCCAAAGGAACCTTGGTGAATGGGTTGATATGTTCAGGAGAAAGTACTTACCATAATTTTAGATACTAAACAGATTTAGTTGCATATATATCCTTGGGAATTACTGACTTCCACAGCCTTTTTGGTTTGAAATAAACTTTCAAGGTACAACTGGCAGGTTTGTGTCTGTTCTGGTTTAAAGTTTATTTGAGGGATGACTGTGACAGCAAGAGTCAACAATACAAGGGTCAGTTCACTCATGACATGAAAGATCCATGATCAGTAACCCTGATTCTCTCCAGATGTTTTGTACTACAACTTCCGTAGGAGCCAGGAAACATGGCCAATATGCAGCGGTGGTCATAGTTGTAATCCAGAAAATTAGAAGGGCAGTTAAATTGAAGAATTGTATTTCTAACTGCACATTTAAAACTGCTATGGAAACTTCAATTTATCTTCAGCATCAACATAGGTAGTATTCACCAAACATTTTTATAATACATATACCCTATTTCCCCCAAAATAAGATCTAACCTGAAAATAGGCCCTAGTGTGATTTTTCAGGATCCTCGTAATATAAGCCGTACCCCCAAACTAAGCCCCAGTTAAGTGAAACCCCGCCCTCTGCCATTGTGCAGCAACCAGAAGATGACATGACAGTATTTGAATAAATGTAGATTGTTGTACATGAAAAAATTAAAATGTCCCCTGAAAATAAGCCCTAATGCGTTTTTGGAGCACAAATTCATATAAGACCCTGTCTTATTTGGGGGAAAACATGGTATAAAGGGATGAACCCTGGGTCTTGAAACTTCTCTTTAATGAAATTGGATAAAAGCTGTACGTGTTTACCTGCAGGAAATATCATCTATATTGCAAGAACTGAAGAGGGTTGAGAAACAACTGCAAGGTATTTAACATCTTATTCAAAAGTTGTTTAAGTCAGTGGTTTCAGAGTAAGGCAGTTTTTTCAGGCAGTAGGTTTTAGGTGTCATGTAACAACAGCTAATGTTCAGTTACCGAATGTGCTTTATTATTGCCAGGAGTGAGGACAGCTGCTTCTATAGGATTTTCCATCTCATGTGCCAAAATAATTGGCTTACTTTGGGAACTATACAGAATAACTCTAATGATTAATTGGGGGGGGAATGTTTTCAGTAAACCTTTCCAGGTTCATAGATAAGAAGCTTGATTGATAGTCTCCAAAAGACTGCTAGTCCTTCTCTATGGAGGTTTTCCATCTAAAATATAAATACCGTGCAGCTACTGTAGCACTCTGAAGATCAGTCAGATTAAGTTTGTCTCCTAATTAGCATATGTGGGTGCAATATATTGCATTTTGTCTCCTCTTTCATGCAGTTCAGTTATTTTATCTGTTGGTATGAACAGGGCAGAAGTATTTCCTTATTCTTTGTTAACCCATTCAGTTGAAGCAGACATAATCCTAAACAAATGCCTAAAACTATGAAAATTCACACTGAAGTCCTTTTTCTTAATTACTGTATAAAAGCTTCTAGGGTGGAAGTCTTGTAAAATTTGCATACACCCTGAAAGTAGAGCAGCTGGTATGATGCCTTGGTTCTCATGAACTTTTTGGAAGGTTATACAACTGTGTAAGGCAGTGGTCCCCAACCTTGGGCCTCTATATGTTCTTGGACTACAGCTCCCAGAAGCCTTCACCACCACCTCTGCTGGTCAGGATTTCTGGGAGTTGAAGTCCAAGAACATCTGGGGACCACTGGTGCAGGGCACACATATCCCATTTACCGATTCCCTCCCTCCCTCCCTCTCTCTCTGTGGGAGGCACCCCCTGCAGGATGCATAATAATATCAGAGCAATTTTAATAGAGGGTGTGCTCTCACCAAATCTTTAAACTGTCTTTTAACAATGTTCTTTCCTTTTTATGTAGTGATAAATTCAATGATTGACCCTGATGGGACTTTGGATGCTCTGAGCAACTTGGGATTTGCTGCCTCTGTCCAAGCAACTCAGCCTAAGCAGAAATCCAGCCCTGTTTCTCAAAGTGCCCATCCTCAGTTACAACCAAACTGTCAACCAGAAGCAAGGGCTGCTCGATCCACTGCAGCCTCTGCTTCAAATGAACTTGGCAATGTTGAATCTGAGCATGATTTCAGCATACATTTTAATAGGTTCAATCCAGATGGAGAGGAAGAAGATCCAACTTTGCGTGAATGACATACATATTATCTGTCATCTTTAGTATTGAATGTGCAGAATTCAACAAGAGTCGTAGCGTTGTTCAAAGAGTTTTTAAAAACTTGGTAAAATTGCTATTGCTTTGTTATACCAGCCACTTAACTGTGATGTTTTGGATGTCACACATACCACTTGACTCATTAAGATAAAAATTGGTACTGACATAGAAATGCGGTTTGTGGTAATTTTATGGGCTTTGCAAGCACTTAACTTTGGATCTTTTCCTTCATAGTTTAATTTCTTTTGGCAGACAGCAAACAGGAGGAAGGCCATCATTATTAAACCTCTAAGTCTCCTGTGCCAAGTTGATCTGTAATTGAGCCTCTTCACGTAAATTTGTATAAAATTATTGATAATTTAAATTTGATTCTAAGGGGATTAAATGAGAATATATTACATTTTAATACTGTTAACACACCACAGTATAGAAAAAGCAGATTTCACAGTATGTCCATTGTTGCATACTAAAGATTTAAAACCATTATGACTGATATAACTTCATTGCTATGTAAATTTTCTCGGGGCTTAATATAGCTCAAATATTATGTTTGCACTAAGAATTTGCTGGGAGCAGATGGTGAACATATCAATAGTCTGTATTGAGAGAAGTGGTCATAATTGTCTTTCTTTAAAAACCACCTTCAGCATTCTACTTCCCAAAAGGATCCATTTGGCCCTTCAGTGATCCTTTTCAGTATGTCTTTTTAATGTTGATGAAAATTTAATGTCATATCATTTCTGTCCTGATGTTTGGAATTTTGAAACCAGTTTAAATGTATGGCTGTGTAAGTCTATTGCCTGAAAGTCCATTTCGTGATATAACATCAATGCCAAACAGAACATACAACTGTGAGTACTTCTTGAGATTATCATGAATTGATTTTAAAAAAAATCAGATTTGGGGATAGAATAATAGTAATCTGTTGAGTAGGCTGACTCCAGGCATACAAATTATTCATGTTTTCCTGTAGATTCACTAGTAAGACAGTCTTATATGTTTATAAGAATTTCTGGAAGAAAACTAACGTAGGCTTTTCTTTTCATATACTGCTTAAGAGCAAAGCTGTTAAAATATCTCTTATAAGCCTATTTATCTTTAAAACTGTCCCAGTAACTTAACATTTGGAAATAATAATGAAAGTTAATCTTGTGTTTCCAGAACACTGTAATTTCAAGGTCTTCTGTCAAATGCTACTAATAACTGGAATTTTCCTGTGTTTCCGCATCAGTCTATATATTATGGTTATGGATACAACTTTGAAGCTTCTATGAAATAATCTTTAATATTTCAGCAATAATCTTATGTGTCACTTGTTTAAAAATACCTTTTTCCTGTATATTTTTAAACTGTACAGGATTTTGGAAGTCATGACAAAATTTGACAAACTTAAACAAAAACATTTTTGTAGAGAGAGGAAAATAAAAACCCCATGAACCTATTGTATATTGGATTATTTTTTTCCTTTTTTCCCTTTCCCTTTCTCTTTCTCTCTCTTGCTTTAAAATAAAAATTATTTTATTTTCACATTAGAGAGAGGAAAATAAAAACCCCATGAACCCTATTGTATATTGGATTATTTTTTCTTTTCCTTTTTTCCCTTTCTCTCTCTCTCTCTCTCTCTCTCTCTTGCTTTAAAATAAAAAAAACTGCCTCTTATCAAACTCTGTATTCCATTCTCTATAAACAGAGATCAGGAAAAAACTTATTTACAAATGTTGTTAAAGTTTAATTGGTGTGGCAAAATGCACTGAGAGCAGTGACAAGATTTTGGCCATTGTTATTTCTTCCTTTCTTTTCAGTGCTTGGGAGAGGAACCACAAACAAATAATTGGGGTGGGAAATAGGAAACAGTTATGGGGAAGAAAAGTGAACATTTAGGCTATTCACACAATTCTTTTTGTGTTTCTCAGACATTTACAACTTTTGTGTTCTGTAATAAGTGTTTTCATTTACAATGTTCTTATTTGTATGAACGCATACTCCTTATTTATTTTTGTTACATTTATTATGTATGTTATAAGCATTTACAGCTCCATTTTTAAATAAAGTGTTTCTGGAACTTTATACTATAATTTGATACATATGTGTGATTAACTGTGTGAACTAGTAAATGTTCATGATGTGTTTTTCAATGAAGTTCAATAATCATGAAAGAGCATTTGCTAAATGTACCCTGTGTTTGTGTCTGAGAATTGATTTTCCTAAATTTTGCACAATGTGTGTGCAAAGGATAATAAACTACTTTATGTCTATAATAGATGCTGATGCAGAGGTCTATAGAAGCTTTAAAAAGACATGAAGTAATGTAAACAAACATTTTTCTTTCTTATTGCTGGAGACAGAGGATAATTCTTTATATTGAGCAGCATCCTGATAACATTTTGTTTAAGTAGAAGATAGTTGTACTACAATTATAGAGTGACAATTTTTCTATTTGCTACTGATCTCTGCCATTACAGCTGCAACTCACTGTCCTAATCTCACCATATTTTGGGGAGCAAGAAAGAAGACACAGGAAACACTTTGTTTACACAGAGTTTTGCTGTGTAAACAAATCCACTGTATAGCTGGGAATGGCAGTGGAACAAGGGGAAAAACTGGAATTTAATAGTATTATGAAAGTGAATTTATTAAATAAGTCTAGATTAAAAGATTTGCTATTCTTATTCTTATTACTAATAGACAAAAGCTTCACCCCTGACCTACTATTTGTAATTGATTATTTATACTTTGTAATTGATTATTTATACTTTGCATTCCCCACCAGGCCCCCTTTTCCAAAATGTCCTTTTGGTCACAGGGGATGAGAATTTTCATATTTGCAAGACTGGTGGAATTATAATAGCTGCTGCTGCTTTGTCCTACAGTCATGCCATGTATCAAGGCATTTCAACTGCTGCTACTCTGAATCAGTGTTCTAGCATGGTCAGAATGTTCTAGAGCAGTTGTCCCAACCTTGGGCCGCCAGATGTTCTTGGACTACAAATCCCAGAAGCCTTCACCACCACCTCTGCTGTCCAGGATTTCTGGGAGTTGAAGTCCAAGAACATCTGGAGGCCGATGGTTGGGGACCACCGTTCTAGAGAACAGCAATTAGTTGGGTTGTGTGCTAATGCTTTAAACATATTAGTCATTTTAGTTATACAATTGCTAGTTCCAACTAGAGTAGACTCATTAAATGAATTACTAATCAGCAAGTCAACTCTTATGAAAGTACCACTGATTCAATGAGTCTTCATTAGTTGTGACTACCACAACTGTGGAATATTATATGTTCACCATTCCAAGATGATAAATAACAAAAGTCCAAAAATGTTCAGAAGGTAGTCTGTGCTGCCTAGCCCTGAATCATCTGATCGTTACTCTGATATGCTGCACTGTTAATGACAATCAAACTCTTGTGCTAGACATTCAGAAATAACTATATGTAACATCCACATGTACATGTTGCTCAAATTCATGTCAAAGTGTATGAATATTTTTAATGGATGGATGCGAGATACAGCACAGTGGCAAAGTGCTAGAGGAGAGGAATGCTACTGTGATACATTCTTCCTCATCAACCTCAAAAGACAAGGTACTATTATAGAGAAGGCTACTTGTCACTACTATTGACATACAGTCTGTTTCTTTATGTGGAATGGGTATTGTGGAGGTGGAAGGCACTACCACCATTATTAATAGCTAACATTGTAATAGTAGGCATCCATCAGTCTCAAGAGACTATGGTAACGTGCTCTGAATAGAGGTCTTGGAACAGCATGTAGTGTGGCTGAGGAGGCCAATTCGAGAGTGACAATCACTTCCACACTAAAGACAAATACAATTTGTCCCCTGTCCAGCTCCCTGATTTTGCTGGTTTCAGAACTGCCTTTTTGCCTCAGCCTGCTGAACAAGTGTCTGTTCAGATTGGGAGAGGCCATGCTGCACTGCCTGCCTCCAGGCTGAGTGCTCAGATGTCAAGGTTTCCCATCTGTTGAGTCCCATTCCTAAGGCCTTCAGCTCCTGCTTGCCTATATCCTTGTATTGGAGCTGTGGTCTCCCTCTGGGATGCTTTCCCTGCACAAATTCTCCATACAGGGGATCTTTTGGAATCCAACCATCAGTCATTCTCACGACATGCCCAAGCCAATGTAGATGTAGCTAACATCACAAACACCATAAACTTACAAATTCCCTCAATATTTCTGCTCAGGTTTACAGCATGTAGAGAAATTCCTGCTGTGCTCTTCAGTTTCACTGTGTTTGCCTGAACCTCATTTCAGTCAGCTCTCTCACAAATTGAGTTATAATTTCAATGCATTGGTTGATTCCTTTACGCTGTGCTACATTTCCAAGGAAAGAATAATCAGGCTGACGTTGAACTGTGTGTGATCAAATGGAATGATGTCACAGACATTTATGTATCTTTTGCTATAAAATTCAACCTTAGAGACCGATAAGTTCTTCTCATAATAACAAGGTGAATGTTATAGGTCCAAAGTTGTTCCCCAGCTCATATTGAACCTGAGTGGGAGACAAAATAAAACTGTTATATAGCACAAGTGGTATTTTTCAGATAAAACCAAATTACTAAGAATGATCATAAGAGCAGGTCCCACCTTCCAAGGGTCAGGTGAGCAGCCCCTGGACTTCTGGAGGCTGGTTAGACACTGCCTGGTACAGACAATGCTTCTAGATAAGAGAGACTAAAAATAGAGCAGCATGATAGAACAAAGTATATCTGTTGGTCTTTTTTGCAAGCTTGTGTTGAGTTAAAGACATCTAATATTTTGAGAAGATAAAAATAAATTAGTAAATTACTTTTTCTTAAAATCAGTACATACAAACATATTCACTTGGTCAAACAGAAAAAAATCTTGATGCAGTCATATATGCAATTGTATTGAAGTCACTCTGTGTTATTCTTTCAATATGCGTGTATCTGTGAGGACATTAACTACATCTGCAACCAATCGTGTGCACACAGCTATGCACAAAATTCTGAAAACAATAAGAACACCAGATTCAGCTCTATTTCTTGAACAGGTGATTTCAGGCCTTTGGATAGTCTGTATATCTGCAATTGATCACAGCTTGGAAAAATTCATGGGTTTTTTTTCTTATTGTAATGTCCAGAGTCTTCCAGACAGCATTGTCTAAGCTCTGCAATTAACTCATGGTAAGAGAAAAACAGGATAGTAGCCTAAACTCTTTGTGAGATACAGTTGTGATTAATGAAGGCATAAGAAAAAGCACACAAAAGTATTTTTCCTCTATGCTCTTCTTTCAAAAACAAAGTGCATCAAATTCTGAGGAATCTCTCATTCTCTTATCATGTGAAGTAGAAATTGCCCAGTATTTTTTTTTTGGCCTGGTGTGCTGGATAACATTCATGGCCACTAGATGGCACATTGGCACATATTTTCAAAACATGGTCCAGATTGAATTTAATTTGTGCACAATCATTTCTATTGATATGTGTATGTAGGATATATTGTGCAGGTGCGTGCGCGCGCGCGCGCGCGCGCACACACACACACACACACACACAGAGTCTCTTTCTCTTTCCAGACAGAAATCCTCTAGAAGGCAGTTTAAACAATTTTGAAACTTACATAATTACAAATATAAAATGTCAGTAGTTAACACACACATGCTCTATGACAACAATAAAATAGCAGTTACTATTAATACTTTCCCACTATAGACCAGCGTCAATCAATTAGAAATAGTTTCAAATACAGACATCCAGCTCTTGAAGGCCACAGTTAAAAGCAGGCAATAAGGGAGCCAGATGCACTTCCAAGGGAGTTCAATGACAGGCCCATCACCAAAAGTAAGCCCTGTGACAGACTGGTTAAACTGCAGGACTGCAGTCAAGGCTCTGCACACAACCTGAGTTCGATCCCAAGAGGTTCAGGTAGCTTATTTTAAGGGGTTATATTTAAACATTAGGCTTTGTTGTCTGATAACATTTAGAGGCTCTCGCCCTGTTTTAGGATTTTGTTTGCTGATCCTTTTCAGTCTTATTGCAGCCTCTTTAATTCATGGGAGGTTCAATTCGAAGTTGATTATTCTCTTGAGAGGGGAAACCTTTAGAGGCTCTGTGGCATTTCAGAACTCCTTGCAAAGCATCTTGGATGGCAGGCATGGTCTTTGAAAACAGAGGAATAAAAGCAGACATGGATTTTCATAACCATTCTAGCAATGAGTGTTGTTGCGTACTAATTTTCCCAAGTGACGGAAAACCAGGGACAGATTTACCACAGTTTTGGTTCCTTGAGGAAGAGAGATCATGAGTGGGTTACACTATTATGTAATAGTTTATTCATTTACAAATATAGAAATTAGAACATAAATGGAGGCAAACTGCTCAAACACTTCTCAAACTAATCAACAAAACCATTGCCTCATATCAGACCCTTTTAGAGTAACTATAGCTTAAATTTGCTATTCTTTTCTGAAAACTGTAGTTTCT